CTCTCCAGTGGAAGTTTTTCACATCACCTACGATCTGTTCCTCTCAGCTGCAGATGCAGAGACTGAACCTGGGACCTTCTGCATGCGAAGCTGATGCTCTGCCAACTCAGCCACGGCCCCCACCCCTGGTTAGCTACGTGTCAGTGAGACTACAGTCCTTGCCTGGCCCTGCCAGCCTTTCAAACAAATCCCAGTTACTCCAGCCCACTGTATTCTACAATGCATAAAGCAGCAACAGATACTGGTGCTTTTGACCTCTCTTTCAGTTTACAGCCAGGCCACATAATCAGCTGTCTGTACTCAAACCAAGAAATGGCTATCAAAAAGAAGACTTTGTTCTAAATAGAAGTCAATGTTCAGTGGCAGAATGACACAAGGTTTTTATTTTTTTTTCTTTAGGAAAATATTTATTTGCAAGGAACAGATAAAGCATTACATACTTTATTCAGCTACATACAAAAAAAAGCACTTCGTTTGCTATTTGGTTTTAGACTTGTCTGCTTAACAATAAAAGAAAACAGTTTCTCTGTACAACCCCCCCCCCGCCCAGTGTACAGTATGAACAATCATGTAAAGAACGACCTAGGAGAGCAATGCATATAGAAAAATTACATACAAATTATTTTTAAAAGGGTCACCTTTAACAGAAAGCTCAACCGACGCTGCAAAGCAAAGAACAAAGAGACTGAAGTCAAAAGGGATATTAAGAATCCCAGAGAAGTTTTTTTTTTCGGGTTTCTGCTTAGCTAGATAATAGCCTTATTTATACAAGACAAAATATTCAAATGCAATCCACAAAACACACTGGTGTATTTACACTGAAGAAGGAGTAAATGAAACATACGGGCAGAAAGGTGCCAATTTAGATAGTCCAACATATCACTTCTGGCTCCTGTACAATCCATCGGGTGGATGCAATCCTGCACTCACCTTTACATATACTTAACCCCAGCAAGCTTTGGTCAGAATAAGTGCATGAAAACACCGGCCTTTGATTCAGAGGAAAGAAAGAGTTTAACCTCACTGGACTACATATACTCTGTTGTTGGATCTCCAGAGGGATTGGTTGGCCCTTGTGTGAGACAGTATTCTGGGCTAGATGGACCAATGGTCTGATACAGCTGGGCTCTTCTGCACTTATGTTCCTAAACACACAGAGGTATGAGCAAGGACTTCTGAGTCCCTGCTATGAAAAGAAACATCTGAATATGTAGTGGGAATGTGTGCTGTACACCTAGAGCATTTCTCAGGTTGCAGTGTATGCATCAACAATGACAGGGAGGAGCCAGGGCACGGAAAGCAGCAGGTCAGGGGGGACTAGTAATTAAGATGGAAAGTTATAAGAGGGGTGTGTGTGGGGGGGAAACGTTTACATTGTTATCCCATTAGGAATGCCATTGTCCTACTTTGTACAGCACGAAAAATTATTAAGTTCTGCTGCACACTAGAAGTCACCAACCATTTGTTTGCTAAAATAAGCCTGGCAAATCCCCATGAAATTGCAAAGGGTTTACCCACTAATCTGGTTCATGCATGCATGTATATCGCTGAATATCTCTGCCTTTGACATATGGTTGCTAAATGTCTGAAATGTAAGTCGCAGCCAACTTATGGTGACCCGGTAGGGTTTTCCAGACAAGAGATGACCAGAGGTGGTTTGCCATTGCCTGCCTCTGCATAGCTACCCTGGATTTCCTTGGAGGTCTCCCATCCAAGTACTAACCTGGGCCCACCCTGCTTACCTTCTGAGATCTGATGAGATCCGGCTACCCTAAGCTATGATATCAGGTGGTATGATACCTCACTTCAGAATCTCAGAAAGAAATGTCAGGATTTTCAAACATGCCAATGAAAAGAGGGCAAGGATTGGGCAGTTGGCTGCCAATGTCAACACCCCAGTATGTATGGATTACAAAATGGCATTTGGAGAAGAGGGGTACCCCTCCAGTGGGGAAAGAAACCCCACAAATGCCTTGTCCTTTCTCTGAGCTGACAGCATCTCCTGGGAGATTAGGACAGAAATCTGTCAAACATTCTGGTTAACAAATTCTCTCTTCCATATGTTTTGGGGAGAAAAAGAGTGCCAGATTTGGATCTGGAAGAGCTGAGTTAAAATCTTGGCACAAGTGGCTCCAGTAGAAAGTGACGCAGCTTAGTCGTACTGTATGCAGGTGGTCTTGTGTTTAACCCTTGACATCTCCAATAAAAGGATCTTGCGTAACAGCTGTTGGGGAAGAGCCTCCTCTGACTGAGAGCCTGGAGAACTAACTTAATAAGCCAATTATGCATTTTAAAAACACTCTGCTTTTCTTTTAGTTACTAGAGCAGTGGCCTACTGTTTCACCTTCAAAAACATTTTTAAAAGAAAGATGGCTATTTTCCAATTAGCAATTTAAAGATGAGCTATTTTTGTCGCAGAGCGGGGGAAAGGATGCTAAATATACAATGCTTTATGGTACGTGTGTTCTACAACGGACTTCTAACATTAGAGAGCCCAAGTTCATCATGGAAATCCTTGCTGTTGGAGCAATTACTGCCACTCGTTCACTTGACTGACAGTCAAACTGTGCCCAGACAGTATCTGCGCCTTAAAAATTGAAGGTTTAAACACACACACACAAAAGCCCACATGCTGAATTATTTCAAAAAGAGAAAAATTGGACATTTGCAGTTTGACATGAACCCCAGCTTTATAATCAAGAACTGGATAATGTTTCTAAGTACAGCTGATGGGAAAAAAGGGAACAAATCTTCAAGCTTGGCTTAAAATTGAAACCACTGATTACATCAGAGGAAGTTTGGTTCAGAATCAGACATATTGAAATACACTAATTTATATGGTAACAAATAGTAAATGCAAGGGAGGGGGAATAAGAATGGAGTTATAGCATATGTACAGCAAAACAAACCCCCCACAAAGCCGCCATATATGTACTAGGAACATGGATTAAGAAGCATCACTGAGCCCACTGCTGATTTCCATGGATACAGGATTTAAAATAATGCCCTCTTCTTCGAAAGTCCATGCACAAATGCTTTCAGAAATGTGATATTGACATATAGAATCACTGACAAGGACAAGTTTTGAAACAGACTGTCATAAGCTGAAGCATTACACAAAGAATGAGACACCCCATCACTTTTCAAAGTTTGACATTTGCATATATAACCATTTGAAATAATCATGGGGGGGAAACCACCTGAAAGCAACAGAAGAACTTGTTTTGAAAGATCTAAACAGACAGCTATAATTTTGTTAGAGGCGCCTGGGAGCTATGTTATTTGTGGGGAGGAAAAAGTAGGTGTTGTACACTTAAGATATCCACATTAACAAATACCCACTAGAATGATTTGAAGAGGGTGGTGACTAGCTTGGAAAGTCACACACAGGCAACTGTACCAACAGCCCTCATTAGCAGAGCTGGAGCAGATATTTACTGGATTTTCTGATCCCCAAATTGGCTGCTGGCGTCCAAGGTGGAAGATGTGATCACGTGAACTGACAATAGCTTGGAACTTGCCAAGCAGACAGGTTATTAAAATCTTCCCTGTTTTACATGGCACCACCTGCTTTCAGAACACACGCAACTAAGAAACAAAACCAGGAAGGGGGAAAGGCTCAAAAGTGATGGCATTGATGCTCAAGTGATGGCATTAATTTTCTGCTTCGTTCTAGGAACTCAAAACAAGTCCTGAAGTTTCTCAAGATTTCACCAAGAGCATTTGGAAGATTTTGCAGCCTTGGCTCATCATTCCGGCTGCCAGATGAAACTGTGGGGAAACTAATAAATACTATTTACAGCAGAGCAGGGGAGGGATGGCTGGGGGGGTCGGAGCAACCTGATTTTCAAGTTGTTTGGGTTCAGGAGGCACCCGTTCCTCATGCGGACCAAGCAAAAGAGGGGCTGAACTTTGCCTTTTTCTACCATGCAGAGTTATATCAGCAGTACCAGAGATGACTCTGTAGGGTCATACACGGAAAGGGAAAAACAAAAGGTAGGCAAGAGCCTTTAAGCCACTAAATAGTTTCTTGCTTGTAGATCAAAGTTTATTGCACAGTACTTCTACAAATCATGGGAGACAGCAGATCTACCAGATTTCCTATAAATCCCAGCCTTCACTTTATTTAATACAGAGACAAGTTTCTAGTCCTTGCGTGTTGTAGAAGGGAGAAGAGTTATACATGTATACACTTTTAAAAAGTGAGGTGACAGCAGCCAGTGCTGGATAGAATCTCCTTCTGCACATCAGATTGTTCCACCCAACTCATAGCCAACTTGCAGGATTTACCTGCCATAGCTGCAGGATGTAGGAGCAGAGACTGGAATAATCTAGTCTCTTTCGTATAGCACCCTGTGTTAGAGGAGGTGAGGACAGGACTACTGTGGGCCTGTTTATAATCACATAAAGCTCAGATTCTGTTAAAGGAAGCGTACAAACGACCCTTTCAAGATCGGCCAGGGCTTCTGACAATTTGAGCTGGTTCCATTTTTCTCCACCAGAAATAGTACGCAAGAGAGTCTACACTATCAGGTTTTCAGAGAAACATCACTCTGGGATGAAAAGTATCCCTGTTAAGTATCCTGAGATTACATGGAAACTGTGTGCTTTGCTAGGGCTCCCTGTAATCTTACACTGGCCGTCCACTGCCAAAGTGTGATTAACTGTTCCTTCTCACCCACCTTCACTGCTCACTACAACCACAGTCAAATTCTCCTTCTGAAACCAATTGGGCTTTTCCCAATAGGTGTATTTCTACTTTACCGTGTGGGACTAAGTTTATAAACCAAGCTCCTTTTTCAGAATGGTATTATAGATGTTTGCCAACTAATGGCTGTCATTCCCCTATAAAAAAGGATCATACATTCACTCCCCACCCCAATAGCATAAAATGGATTTCATCCAGAGGAGCCTCTGCAAAACCCACTCTCTTTGTACATACTGTAAGGGAACTGAGACCCATCATGTGCTTTTATAACATCGTGAGAGCCACTGGGGTATTCATTCAGCACTAAGGTTAGGTGCTATCCCGGCTTCTCTCATATCCCTGTCCAAAGCATCTTCTTGGCCCCAGCTGCCTTTAGAGTCTTTCTGTTGGGTGTGGGTCCACAAAGGCAAGCTAAAGAATGTGACTTTGGACTACAACCATTGGGAAAGGGGGGAGAGAGAACAAGAACGGCAAAGCCAAGCCACGTCCTCTCCATCCAGTATGGAAGTCAGACAAATGTTTCCCCCTCCCGTCCTGGATTTCCTGACAGCAACAAGTTCCTCAGTCCTTTGGTTTGGAACGAAGAAGAAGGGACAAGAAAGACCCCTTATTCATTTTCTTTTTAAGATGTAGCATTAACTCTTCTGTCAATTTCAATGAACTTCAGTGTTTGGTTTGCATCCAGCTCTGAGCTGACTCTGCAAAAGGAGAAGTAACAGTCAGTCATAAAACGGTAGCATACGTGCCCCTCCTTCAAAACCTCACAACGTACACAAGAGTATTTTATATTGTTGTTATTCTATCACTGCAGTTGCTCTTTTGCCATCTGTTGGAATTTGCGCAGCCCAATCCTGCCTACATTTCACAGCAACAAAATCCTAGAATGGTTGCCTTTTAGCTGGGACCGTAGCAGGGATGGAACCTGGGCCCTCATACGTGCCAGACTTTACCACTGAGCTTGGGTCCCTACAGAATAACATTTTTTAAAAAAACTGCAGGTTCCTTTCCTTGGCAGCGGCTGGAGCACAGTTGGGGTCTGCAGCAGTTCCAGGTAAGGGAGGCTTCCTAGCCAAGGGGTAGCCATGTTAGTCTGTCATGGCAAAATAAAAGTCCAGTGGCACCTCACATGTATTCATTTATGTTATGTATAGTCCACCTTTCTCAATGCAGGGTGGATTACACAGAGTGAGCAGGTGCAATTAACAAAATGGGGCATGCAATACACCAGTGCATTAGGATTTTGGAAGCCTGGGACCACCAGAAAAGCACAGCATGATTATTCACATGACACATTCAGTGGCACAAAAATTATAAAAAGAGGATCCCATTTACAATAAGCTATACACAGCAGTATAGACTGCAGTCCCAATTACTTATCTGAGTAAGTTTGCGAACTATGTTGTCCAGTGCAGCCCTATTACCTGCATAGAAAAGCCCTCTTGAATAGTTTAGTTATGAATGGTTTGCTGAAAGCCAGGAGAGTGGGAGGTTTCCTGACCTCCTCGGGCTGGCCTGAAAGATTAAGAACATTTATTTCAATATGAGCTTTCGTGAGTCAGAGCCCATTTCTTCAGACGGACATAGCGAAGGAAAATTTTCTTTCACGAAAGCTCGTATCGAATTAAATTTTTAGTCTTTAAGGTGCCCCTGGACTTTCATTTTCCCAGCCACTGAACACTCAGCCCAATCCACTGCGCCCCCATTTCTTGTGTTCTCATTCACTACGGAAGAGGCTTGCTGGCACCAGAATTCTTCTCTGAAGCAACTCACACATCTGGACTAGAAATTCGCAACTTATTTTTCTCTCCCCCCTGGGTTGTTCGCTCACCTGTGCTGCTGCAGCTCCACCAGCACTGACTTCTCGAGCCGGGTTTCGTTGGCTATCGTGATCTCTGTGACTTGGTCGTGCTGCGCCCTGGAGATGGATTCCAAGGACACGGACGAAGGTTTGGAGGCATCCGTGTGCCTGTCCCAGCTGTTGCTGTGATCTGAGAGATGTGGTTCCTCCAATGGGTGAGGCCCCTCATAAGTTAACAAGCTCCTCGACCGCACTAAACAAACAAATGGGATGGGGGGGGGAGTAGAAGAGACGAAAGTCAATCCCAAGGCCAAGTGAATGGATGTTACGGTTGGCCACCATCAGGCTTTGATCATCGGTTTCAATGCAATAATAGCACTGAGGTGAAATGTTAGTATTGTGGTACCAGGAATACTTTTTTTAATATCACATGTGGTGGGAATGCCCTTGAGAGTGTATATACTGGAGAATAGTGTCAAACAGCAGTACCTATGGGACTGATTTTATAAAATCGCACATTGACTATAACTGATATTAAATTTTGTGGATTAGGTTCTCAGCCAACATACAAGAGGAATGAGGAAATGAGCTGAAAGAATTGTTCCGCGTGACAAGATTGTTTATTTAAAAACAGAAAACTGTAACGAACATGGATTTGGGAGAACCAAATGATTCAGAGGGTGGAAAGTCATGATAAAAATAAGAAATGGATGTAAAGAGTTAATAGCTGGAGAGTCTGTGAGAAGTAAACTGGTTTGCATCCAACCAGGTGTTCTGACGATGAAAAAGCAAAGGAAGGAGATGGCATCTTTGACCACCCCAAAAGGTTATTCTGAGAATCATGCTGTTTGCATATACAAGAGCCATACAGGAGGGGGGGGGAGTGTAATATGAGGAATAACTGGGTTATAACTGAGTGAAAAAGCAGGCTGAAGCCAACCCATGATGTGTGTTGCAGTTTAAAAATATGGCAGTGACTGAATTATTTATTATTATTTATTTATTAAGTCGGATTTATTAGACCACCCTTCCCTGCAAACAGGGCTCAGCAGGAGAAGAAGAAGAAGAGAAGAAGAGATTGGATTTATACCCCGCCCTTCACTACCCAGAGGTGTCTCAGAGCGGCTTACAAACTCCTTTCCCTTCCCCTCCCCACAACAGACACCCTGTGAGGTGGGTGGGGCTGAGAGAACTCTGACACAAACTGCTCTTTCAGAAACAGCTGTGCTAGAGCTTGTGACTGACCCAAGGTCACATCAGCAGGTGCAAGTGGAGGAGTGGGGAATCAAACCCGGTTCTCCCAGATTAGAGTCCACACACTTAACCACTACACCAAACTGGCTCTCTACCTAAAACATATCAACAGATAAAACAATACACATTCCAAGATGATGGGGGGGGGATTCAGCTTCCACAGGCATCCTAGAGGGGAGAGGTTACGGAGGGTGTGTGTGAGAGTGCCAGATTTCATACTGTCCCGTCGCTGTCCTCAACCAAATGCCTGACGGAATACCTCTGCCTTACATGCCCTGCTTAAAGGCAGTAATTCCCACAGGGCATGGATGTTCTCTGGAAGAGAGTTCCACCAGGCGGGGGCCAGGGCCCAAAATACCCTGGCCCTAGTTGAGGGCAGCCTCTTTCCCAGAGCGTGACACTCTTCCGGGGGCATACTGAGAGAGAGCCCTGAAGAGACTGAACTTAGATGCTTCTCTGCATGCAGGGCTGTGTTCTGGTACAGCACTGCTACTCTTCCCTCAATTCTCAGAATCCCTCAACTTGCTCCCCAAAAGGCTCACAGCTGTCTCCCTCTGCTACTCCTGCCATTTCCGAAACATCTACTGCAGTCAGTATATCCCCTCAAAACAGCCAGAAGTGGGTTGACAGAGGTTCAGTGAGCAGCTGCTGCAGCTGCCACAAGGCACCTGGGTTCCTGCTAATGCCAGGGCCTCAATGCTCCAGTTGTGGCACTTCCTGATAAAGCAAGTCTCCTCCACACAGATCTTTTTATAAATCACATATCACCCATGTGAAAAGGCGACCACACAACCACATTCTTTACCAGGGGAGGGAGCCACCACTAGGAAATCTTTAAGCCAGTTATTAAGGAGGTCTGGACTCCGACCCTGCTGCTATCTCACTTTCCTTGCAGGACTTGAAACTCCAGAGCTGTAGAAGCCCTTCACTCACCTATGGAGGCTGTATACGATTCTGGTGTGGAATGCTGAGTTGGCAGGACTGCCTTTGTGGTGGAGGAATTAGGCCCGTAAGTCTGTGAGAAGCTGCCAAAAATAATTGCAAAGCATAATACTACCACCTGGAAGAAGAAAGCGGGAGAGAGAGAAACACTCAGTTCCTGACAAAATAAATAAAGTCACATTGAACATGAATACAATTGAACTTATATCAAAACAACTTGAAAGCAAGAAAATAGCACATAGCTGGGAGGATTTTACTTTTCCTGGGTTGTATATCTGTCAATTGAGAGGAGGCTCATAACCAGAAAGGTCGACGCAATAAAGATTCGGCTTAATATGACACATCTCTATTAGGACGGCACCCTGGAAGCTTTGCAACCAGCCGTTCTGCTCAGATGAGCTACTTACTCACAAGACAAGAAAAAGGTAAGACATTTGTCTGGGCTCGGCTCGGCTGTGATGCGCATTCCAATGCTGTTTCATAACATCACAGCAAGCACTTCCTATGCTACTTCTGCCAGCGGGCTCCATGTGTTAAAAAAGCAAGGTGGATTCTGAGTTGGTCAGGAGAAAGGTAGGCATATAAAATATTTTAAGTTGACTGGACAAACTGGGAGGGGGAGAATAATGATAAGTAAATGCAAACACAACCATTTTAAAGCCACTTTCTGCTACTGGATTAACACAGCAAGAAGTAAACACAGATTTGCCTACCATATAGAGCCAGCCGACACACAAACCCTGGCTTGCCTGCTTGCTTTAGTTGAGGGAATTGCCTGTTCAAATGCTTCCCACTCAATAAAAAAAATTCTGCTTAAAGAAGAGTTATTACATTAGGAAGAAGAGTTCCCTGGCTTGCGATTTTCAATGCACATGTAGTAGAATTTGTAGTTTATAAAATGTATGTAATTCTCTGAAGGGGCAATCTGTACAAGGAGTATACAAAGAATATTTCAGGATGGCAAGGAGCTATAAAAAAGGGAATGAAATGTTTACAAAGACTGGCTCTGTTCCATTACACTGGGAAATAAAAAGCAGCCCAGTCTATCACAATTAACCCAGCTAAGGTATATTCAGGCCCCCTGCCTTGAACATATGAAACTGCCCTATACTGAGTGAGCCTATTGGTCCATCTATCTTAGTACAGTTCTAGTCTGTCTGACGATGGCTCACCAAGGGCTTTCCTGACCCTTCTGTATGGTATCCTTTAGCTGGAAGATGCGAGTGACTGGAACCAGGACTTCTACATGTCAATCCTATTGAGCCACGGTGCCTTCCTTTTCCACCAGTGGTATCATTCACACAGTGGCATCATTCACACATTCACACAAAGGCTGGCTCACACCATCATTCCAGCCAAACTCTATCCACATGCTCATCTCTCAGCATGCACGTGACCAAATCGGACTGGAAGAAACACTGTATGAACCAGCAGAACCAAGATATAATTTTTCAGTGATTGCCATAACAGCAACCTCGAAAAAGGTAAGACATTTGTCTGGGCTCGGCTCGGCTGTGATGCGCATTCCAATGCTGTTTCATAACATCACAGCAAGCACTTCCTATGCTACTTCTGCCAGCGGGCTCCATGTGTTAAAAAAGCAAGGTGGATTCTGAGTTGGTCAGGAGAAAGGTAGGCATATAAAATATTTTAAGTTGACTGGACAAACTGGGAGGGGGAGAATAATGATAAGTAAATGCAAACACAACCATTTTAAAGCCACTTTCTGCTACTGGATTAACACAGCAAGAAGTAAACACAGATTTGCCTACCATATAGAGCCAGCCGACACACAAACCCTGGCTTGCCTGCTTGCTTTAGTTGAGGGAATTGCCTGTTCAAATGCTTCCCACTCAATAAAAAAAATTCTGCTTAAAGAAGAGTTATTACATTAGGAAGAAGAGTTCCCTGGCTTGCGATTTTCAATGCACATGTAGTAGAATTTGTAGTTTATAAAATGTATGTAATTCTCTGAAGGGGCAATCTGTACAAGGAGTATACAAAGAATATTTCAGGATGGCAAGGAGCTATAAAAAAGGGAATGAAATGTTTACAAAGACTGGCTCTGTTCCATTACACTGGGAAATAAAAAGCAGCCCAGTCTATCACAATTAACCCAGCTAAGGTATATTCAGGCCCCCTGCCTTGAACATATGAAACTGCCCTATACTGAGTGAGCCTATTGGTCCATCTATCTTAGTACAGTTCTAGTCTGTCTGACGATGGCTCACCAAGGGCTTTCCTGACCCTTCTGTATGGTATCCTTTAGCTGGAAGATGCGAGCGACTGGAACCAGGACTTCTACATATCAATCCTATTGACCCACAGTGCCTTCCTTCTCCACCAGTGGTATCATTCACACAGTGGTATCATTCACACATTCACACAAAGGCTGGCTCACACCATCATTCCAGCCAAACTCTATCCACATGCTCATCTCTCAGCATGCACGTGACCAAATCGGACTGGAAGAAACACTGTATGAATCAGCAGAACCAAGATATAATTTTTCAGTGATTGCCATAACAGCAACCTCCGCACACTCCCATGGCTTTAGTTAAGGTGTTAGGCCATGGAATGGTCAGGGGAGGCCTTGAGGATAACGTCGCCCGTAGACTCACCATGAGACACGTTCCCGTTTGGGTACTCGCAGCTTTGCATGAGCGAGACACTTTGCCAGCCACCACGGCCTGGAGCCTCTGTAACTGCTGCAGGAGTGTTCTGAAAGGGGAAAGGAGCAGGCATCGATGCATGTCAAGGTCTTTAGCTTTCTTTCAAATACCACTCCTAGTATTCATCCTTATTTTTTCTTAGTTAGGCTTGTAGGAAATATCAAAACCACTGTAAAAACCCGCACAAGAGCTTACAAAAAGAGACTTCAACACAATAAGTAATTCAACACATGTAATCCATCATAGGAAAATACAAAAGTCCACAATTTCCCCAAGGGGAAGAACAAAGTCCAGAATAGAAATCTCTCAGAGGGAAACAATAAAGTCTGGAATAGATGTCCAACACTTTTCCTAGGTATTGATCAGTGTTTCGGACTTCAGGTCCTTCCTCAGGAACTAAAATCCACTACAGGAAGTCTCATTGCAGTTTATATGGGCCAGGTCTCCTAAGCTTTAGAAAGCACCTACAAAGGTTGCTGCTATGTAAGTTGGACCAAGCATGCCTGTAGTGGCTTTTAGTTCTTGCACATCTTGGCTTAACTACAGCTTCTTCCAACATCTGAGCACAGCTTCACAGGATAGAAGGAGATGGAGAGACTACAAATGGGAATCTAGTCCGCATGAATACATGCATACACTCAGTCGTAGGCATATAGAGGGGGAAAGTGGGAAACAGTGGGGTCAAAAGTTAACCAAATGCAGGACGTACAGTCTATGGCATTTCTATGTGGATCTCAAACATGTGCAAGATAGATATAATGACCATTCACAACAGCAGTAACTGGAAATGCCTTAGTCATAAGCAAATGTGTTAGAGACAAAGATGCCAGTTGTTCTACTCTAAAGGCACCTAATTTTAGTTTTTCACAGTTGTGATAATAGGAAAAAAAACATGTTGGAAATAGAAACCATCAACACTGTAGTAAACAAAATAAAATGTTATTATCTTGGCTCAGAAATAGTCCATGGATCTCAGACTTATCATGCAGGGGAAAAAGGAACTATTTTAATTTAAGAGAAAGACTGGGAAAGGGGGAGAGCATCCCTCTAATGTAATTGAGGGGTAGCAATAAATTTGGATATTCAATTACATCTTACCATAACAGTGAATTCTAATCATACACACCTAGGACACAGTCCAAGACATATTGCACTTGGTGGACCTCATGCCTGAGTAAATATACTCAGGAGCTGTAGTGTCACGGTAATTCTAGACATAGTTATCTATCCTGATCTCTCACTCTCCATCACAATAAACAAAACATCTTTGAAAATGGCAGCAATCCTCAGGGTGACTGCTGTAGTCCAAAGCAACATCTGGAAGATTCATTCTGCCTCTGAACTTTCACTCTAAGTTTCATGGACTTCATAAAAGTAAAGATTTGCATTGATTAAAATACACTCCTCGACTCAGCTGGTTTAGTCTGTGATAGCACATCAGGACGTGCCCATTTCTAAACACAAGTCATTGGCAGCACGTTCTTGTCAAAGTTCTATGGAAAGCTTCCTGTTATTTTTTATGATAGATCTCGACAGAGTATGTGGGGTTATGAACGCCACATCCTGCAAGCTGGTTGCCGATCCCAACTGTTAAGATCACACCAGGAGAAAGTGCCCATCCCAACTATTAAGATCATGCCAGGAGAAAGTGCCCTCTAGGAAAGGTATGTCCTTCTTACAATGGGTGTACAACTTCTTTTTAAGAATGCAAGTATCCATTTTTCATGATTGCCCATCGTGTCGAATTTCAAAAAGGAATCTTTCACACCAATTTCACTCCAGCTAAGGGCCTAATGTCCCAGGAAATTTCTCCGTGGACCACTACATTCTTTGCTGCAAACAGCTCTCTATTACACACATATCCTCTCCAAAGCATCCCTCAGAATTATAGTAAAGTAAATCTGTACTGTGAGAGATTTCTAACTCCCCTTGTTGAACTACAGTTCCCAAGCTTCCCTGGGAGAGATACTAGATTGTACTTATTATTATTATTTAACCAGTGATTACTTAGCTAGTTTGTCTAGGACACAGCAGAATGATCTCTTAAGTGGGGCAAGTATCCCAGGCCCCAAACTTTTGGGGACCCCACCAAGGAGCAGTCAGAGACTGGACCACCAGCTGCTCAGACCAATGGGCTGAAAGTAGCATGAACTACAAGAACTGTTCATGCGAGTGAAAGGTACATGATTGTCAGGTATCTGAATGGCTACTTTGCCTTCCTTACTGGCTTCATGTAGGGTATTGTAAAGTAGAGGGCAACAAATGAATACGTTCCAAGACCTGTATTTCTGGCACTTGCAGTTGTATCTGAAGAAGTGAGCAGTGACTCATGAAAGCTCATAAGAACACAAGAACATAACAGAAGGCAATGTTGGATCAGGCCAACGGCCCATCCAGTCCAACACTGTCACACAGTGGTCATATCCTACCAAAAAAATTTGGTTAGTCTTCAAACTGCTACTGCTCTCACTCTTTTCTACCTGCACAGTGAACAACTTTGATATACTCTACACTTTCCTTTATGCCTTGAGTACCTGGGATAGATTAGACTGCATACCGTTCCTTAGGTCTCTCATTTAGTACTGAATTTTCAGTGTAATCAAAAGCATGCTCAAAGTCCAAAAACCAACCAGAGTCCATTGATTGCCTTCTTGGCCTGAATACCCAACTCTGCAACCCCTTCCCTTTGTTTCACTTTATCTTCAGAATGCCTTATAGGTTGCCTCCAATTTAAACAAGAGGCCATGAGCATAAGAAAATGTATCTGTGCAGTATTCCATGGGTTCAGCTCTATGGTGAAGGTAGGTCTTTACTGTATTCGTAGCCCACCTTTCACACTGAAACGCAAAGCAGATTACACAATGTAGATTGATACAATCAATATGAGGAGACATCAAATAAGCAGTGTCCTAGGACTACTGAAATCTGACAGAGTGTAGCGTATTAGTCTTGAGTGTGGATATAATGAAGGAAAACTGTATTACTTCAGTAGGAAAAAAAATGAACCAATAGGGTAATATGTGCTGCAAACTGATAATACCTCCTATTCACAGCAGTATAATCCACAGTCCCTTTTCCTTCATAAAGTGCCTTCCTCAAGTATTCTGTTATAGTGTATCCCTCCCATACAATTCTGTTTTACACGGTCTGAGGAATGACAGGAGCATGGAAGCCTTCCGGATCTTCTCAGGCAGGCCGTTCCACAAGGCAGAGACCACAACAGAGAAAGCATGCAAACAGGCAATTGTGGATCTTACCTGTGCATGCTTGTGTGGCTCTGGCTCGGGCTATTAAGCCCTGGTGTTCTTATTGCACATGCAGGCAAAGTAACCTTACCTGTGCATGCCTGTGTGGCTCTGGACACAAGATGCTAGACACAAGGAATGCCACACAAGTAACATTTTTTTATATATACAAGTCTGGCCTTGTGTACACAACCCACTGTGCTTTCTTATAAAATATGAAAGGGAGCTGCCTACAACTTTTTCTTGTTAAAGAGAAAATAATTTTTAAAAGCTACTTAAAAATAGTTGTAGGACATACATCCCCAGGGGTGCCTTGATAGCTGAATGTATATTTTGCCCGTCTGTTTTTAAAATCAATCATCTCCCTAATTAGGATCTAAATGAATTCAAGGACTCAAGAAGTTCAGGCTTAAATTAGTATCCGCAGTGCTCCCAGCAGAGACTTATGTAGAGCAACAGATTTCTCTCAGATTTATTAAACAGTGTATTCAACGGGACTGGAGATAAAAGGAGGCAGGCAGGAGCAGAAGATTGAAAAATGTTGTTTGCCCTTTCTTTTCCGTACTGGCAGAAGAGCAAGCCATCATCCCAGGAATGCAAAGTTATTTCATAATCAGTGAGTAACTGTATTTTAATGGGCAGACTCACAGCATAAAGCCCTGACTAGGAAGGAAGGAAGGAAGGAAGGAAGGAAGGAAGGAAGGAAGGAAGGAAGGAATATTGGAGGGCAGGAGTCTCAGCAGAGAAATGGTGCTTAACCCTTTCCCTACCTGCTACTTCTATACTCCAAACCAACACACACAGCTTGCTCCCACCCATGTTTGTCCATGGTTTGAATCCTCCATGGGGAAAATCCCTTTGGAAGACAGGGAAAACCGATAAAGGGTTAAATGACCTCATTGTTTCTCTCCTCAAACCCCCTCACCCCAATTGAATAAGATTTTTTTAAAAGCTGGCTATTGTGAAGGTTCATTACATGCTTGCCAGTATCGCTGCCTCATTCTGGCAAAAAAATTACTTCCATTTTAAAATTTAATTTACATTTATTAAAATATTTACACCCCACCTCCACTTTCTAGCTCAAGGCAGATTAGAACTCAGCTTCTTAATTAAGCATTTCCTTTTGGAAACTGTACACTGAAAATGGAAGGGAAGGGTTGAGTGAGAAGCCACTTTTAAAAAGAGAGAGAGTGTGTGAGTGCATAAGATGCTAAGAGGCTCCCCTGCTGCATACTTGATTAAAGGTCACAATGGTTTTGATAAAGCAAATATGTTCATGGCCATAAAAAGTACCCGGGGGGAGGGGGGGGAGCATAAATCCTAAGGCAGTGCGGCAAAGCAAATTGTACCCTTACACTGTCTGACACATTTTGTGGACACAATTCAATTGAAGGGTCAGTTGCATTCGCATAAATGTACTTTAGTGTTCCCCCCTACAAGGACGGCTCAATCACTTCACAGTTTTGCCACGTGAGAAAATCCTCCCATGCTCTATTTAACATTTCATTTGACTTCAAGGGTGGGCTGATAGAGCTAAGGAACAAAGAAAATCCTGCTGCTGACAAAATGTCAGGTCCTACAACGCCAACACCACGGCCATACAGCCCGGAAAATCTACAACAACTGAAAGAAAATCCCCGTTTACAAAACTTTCAATTGTTCTTAGATTAACAACACAAGGAACAACACAAGTGTGCTGCACTGTACAGAATGCAGAATGTGGATCAGGCAGAGCAGATCCCTTCTCAGGCATGAAACTTGTGAGCTAGTCATTGGGCTTTTCCTACATTTTCATTTTCCTCGC